ACATGGTGTTACAGTATAGGATCTTCTATGTCCTGAGTTTTCATTGACCTTGAAAGGCTAGGGACAAAATGTTGGTTGTCCTTGCAGCCCTCCTTTTTTTCTAATTTGTGGTCTGCAAAGTTAGGTTGCTAACCCTCCAGAAGTGAAGCTTATTGTTATTACCCTACAACATAGGCTGTTGAGCTTAACCTCACTATCTGCCTGAGTATCAAACATCTTAGGCATAACATGGAACAGGTATTTTCCATCAAGTATTGATATGTTAAACTTTTTTTTTTTGCAGAACCAGGGATTGCACTCAGGCCCTTGCGCTTGCCAGGGAAGCACTTATTCCACTGAGCCATCTCCCTGGCCCCTGATATGATAAACTTTAAATGCCTCTAGAATATGAAGGAAAAACATTTTTAAAGTGAAAAAATATTTTAAAATAGGAATAAACAGTTTATACAGAAATTTAGAAATCTAACCATATACAGCCTTGCAGCAGACAGTCTCATGACATTTTTTTTTCTTGTCCCTTGTTTTCATTTATTATCCTTTATAAAAAACCAAACATTTACTTGAGAGACAGTATGGTAGTAATTGGTATGTCATGACAAGCAGTACATATTTAGAAGACCACAATGACAGGCATACCAAGCATGACCCTACTATTACACATTACTATCTTCAGTGCAGTTGGTTAGTTCACATGTATCAGCATATATAGTTGGTCAGGGTGGGAATCCTTCCAATTAACTGCTAGTTTCAAAAACATGAAGATTCTCAGGATCGTTGTCTTACCCATCTGTGCATGTAAATGTATGGCTTTGCCCGTCATGTTTCCTAGCTTTCTTCCTTGCCCTCTCTTTGTTGTCTAATCCTCAAGTTCCTGCTTTCTTTTTAATTGGGTTATAACTTTCTATTTTTATCTCTTCTTTTGAGTTATTATACTAGGGATACTATATAATATTTACACATGTGGGTCTGGTTTATTTCACTTATGAGTATATTATATTGTCCAGTGGCATCCCCTTAAATATAAAGGCTTCAAGTTTATCATTCTTTATAGCTGAGTAACACTGCAATGTATAAAAGTACCACATCTTTTTCATCCATTCATCAGGTGACAGGTATCTTGGTTGTGTCTAAGATTTAGCTATCACAAATTGTGCTGCTATAAACATAGGTACATATATATCACTATGATATGACGTTTTTAGTTCCTCTGGGAAAATTTCCAGTAGGGGGGATAGCTGGCTTGAATGGGATTTCCAGTCCTAGTTTTTTAAGGAGTCTCCACATTGATTTCTATAATGGTTGCACCAGTCTACATTCCCACCAGCAGTGGAGAAGGGTTCCTTTTCCCCCACAGCCTCTCCAACATTTGTTGTTGGTTGATTTCTTGATGATATCTATTCTTTCTTGGGTGAGATGGTATCACTTTTTTCCCCCATAATTTTATTGAGAAACAAGTAGCAGTGAGACAGTTTCAAATCAAATTAAGACAGTTTCAATAATTAACGCATTGCATACTGTCTTCCTAGTGATTATATGATGTACAAGATCAAGACATGATATACTATTTACAAACACTATTAGAACAAATCCTTCTATTCAGTGAGTTAAGAGAATGTAGCTGTATATCTATCCTAACCATTTTGAATACATATATACAAAATAGTCATTCATCTGTATTCCTTTGTTTAGTTCCGTCATTTAAATATTATAGGTGTGTTAACTCAGCAAAATATTCTAACAAGAGTCCAGTAGTCCATAATAGTATCGGGTCTTCCGCTTGACTGGTAATGTCGGAAATTGTTGACCTGAGTCCCTTACAGCTCAACATAACACCATGGCTTTACTTCTTATACTTCGTTTTTATACTTTTCTGCTGGATGGTTA